TGGTTATTTGTTAATTTGTTACTTTTGTTAGCAATGTAAACCTAATTTTGTTTTGTTTTGACACTATTTTTTTTCTTTGTTTAGAGTAAACACAATAATGTTGTCACTAATCACCATCAAGAATTTGCTCACTCATTGTTTTTTTGTAAGCATTTTCTATAAAAGATGCCTTCCGATTAATTCGGTCAGAGTTGATCATCCAGGTCCATCACAAACATCTGGTAAGTGGAAATCTTGGTTAACCTGCAAAAATTTCTTTTCTTCATTTTTAAAAAAACAAAGTTCAATATTTCATTTGGCTGGCATTTCCGTTTATAACGAATTCTTATTTCTCTGTTTTGATTTCAGCCAGTCGTGTGTGTAACATGCACGTATCGCTTTGTTTGAACTAAATTTTAAACTCTAAATTCCTAATTGTTCCTGTTCTTGGGACTTTGAGATACTTTTAATTGATTTTTATTTGGAAAATAATACGATTACAAAGAATTATTTGAAATTGGCACCATTATACCGATTTAATTGAAAATAGCATATTTTAATGATTATTTTAAAAATAGTATCATTTTAATCATTTAATTTTTTAAATAACAAATATCATTTTTAGATGTTTAAATCATTTGATATAGTGTTGTTATGGTACTGTTTTTAAATACTCAAACTTGAGAAACAGTTTTGAATTCAACTCAATAGACTATGAATAAAGTATTAACTATTTAAGTATCATTCTTCAATATCTATTTGGAAATAGTATCAATAATATGAACAAATTATTGACTATTTGAAATGTGTATTATATTTAAAATTATCATTCTTAAACTTTTATTTGAATATACTAATCTCTTTAATTTATTTGATAATAGTATCATTTTTTAAAAAAATTATTTGACAATAAATCATTTTTAAACTTTTAATTGAAAGTTGTCATTTGATATAACGTTATTATGCCAATGTATTTAAATACTTTAATGAGATAAACATTTTTGAAATAAATTCAAAAGGCTATGAATAATGTATTGAATATTTGAAATGTACCTTACATTAGAATGTATCTTTTCTAAACATTATTTGAAAACAGTATCAATAATATAAATAAATTATTGAATACCCGAAATGTATATTATATTTACATTAATTTCTTTTTTATCTATTTTCTTTCAGAAAATGAAGATTCTGTACTTAGTATGTTTGTTGCCTTTGTTAACAGTTTGGACAAGTGCTCACGGAGATAAGAGCGATGATGATAAAGATAGATGGGAGAGACGGGACGATATGCCTGGACAACATGGCCGCCCCAAAACCGGCTACGTCCGAGTTGTTGGCATGGTGACAGAACCGAGAAAAGGACGACATCATAATGATAAAGATGATATGTCAATGTCATACCGCGAAGAAGACAGCAGCGAAAAAGCAAGAGGACGTCAATCTGAAAGGAAAGATTGGGTCGATCGTCGTCGAGGCGATGACAAAACCTGGGAAGGCAACGATGATGATGGTGACAGACGTCGTGGAAATATGAGGGAAGGGGGTTATGAAGGTCATCAAGGAAGACAAACAAAGGAGGACGAATCTCGACGTGGTGCCGGAAGACGCCATTCAGTGGACGTTGATGATGAACAAAGTCCCCATGGACGACAATCAAAAGAAAATGAATATCAACGCCCACATGGAAGAAAGCCAATGGACGATGGAAAAAGCGGAAGATCTAACCGACGTTATCCAATGGGCGATGAAGATCGCCGAAGACCACACGGTGATGATTCAATGGGTGACGAGGATAGAAATCCATATGGAAGAAAACCCAGGAAACGCAACGATGATGATGGTGACAGACGTCATGGAAATATTAGAGAAGGGGGTTATGAAGGTCACCAAGGAAGACAAACAAAGGAGGACGAATCAAATCAATCAAAAGAAAATGAATATCGACCCCCACATGGAAGAAAGCCCATGGATAATGGAAAAAGCGGAAGATCTAACCGACGTTATCCAATGGGCGATGAAGATCGCCGAAGACAGCCCAGGGACGATGGTAATCACCGAAGACCTAACCGCCGCAATCCTATGGGCGGTGAAGATCGTAGGAGACCACATGGTGGTGATTCAATGGAGAATAGCGAAGAAGAACTTAGACGTGCTTACATCAAATTCTTTGGTAAGATCGACATGATGAAAGACAACAAAGGTTCTGGGAGCTGGGAACGTGAAGGCGACGGCGATGATGGCAAAAGTCAAGTCAAGCGACGCCGAGGAGGAAAGAAACATAACAGAGGCGGTAAAAATAAAGGAGACGATGAAGATAAAACTGACGAAGAGATCGATAATAATGACGATATGGATGCTGAGAGTATTAAAATGAAGCTAAAATCAAACATGAAGCAACTTTATAAGGAAAATCCATATGAGCTAGCAGGCGTAGTCACCATATCCTTTTTAAAGATGTGTGAATGTGACGGAGACGATGCAACGAAACTATTACAGAAATTCATTGCCAAAGCAGAAAAGACCCACGAAGACGACAGTGCTGTTAAAAAAATGCCAGAAATTCCAGAAGTTCCCAATTTTAAGGGTAACGAAACGGCCAAAGTTGAATTTTATCGCAGACTGTCCACGGAACAGAAGGAGTTACTCTTTGGCTATGATCTCATCCAAAATATGTGCAGAGGAGCTAAAGTATTTCTCACGGAATCCAAGATCTTTTTTGATAAATATTTTCCTATGAATAACTCAGGCATTCCTTTAGACGCCAGAGTAATCAAACCCAAAAATTAAGAAACTCTCCTAATTAATTGAAAGAAATTTTTGTAGACCACAACAACCTCGTCATATCTCCGCATCTATTTAGTTACGTACATTATATTTTTATTGTGGATCTTAGACCGATTATTGGTTCCCAGAAAAGTCCAGTTAATTTATGATGGTTTTTTTTATTTGTATTTGATTGGTGAATTAATCCTGTGATTAAAATGATATGCTAAGTAAAACTCATGGTTATTTTTTAATCCAATATCCCAGCAAGCATCCATTCTGAACATGCTTTTTTATCCAATAATAAATATTAAATATGGAAATAATTAAAATTGAATCGTCTTCCATGGAACTGTAGGTGTTATTGTGGGCCTTACCTTTTGAAAGTCACATTTTACACCCCGTGTCGGCATCATAAAATCGTGATTTTCAACATTCCCATTCTGTCGAATTCTACTTTTTATGTTTTCATATAAAACATCATTCTCACTTATAGATGTTTCAATCAGAATTGCAAATTCAAAGTGTGGCTCTAACAACGAGATTTGCAATATAAAGGATTGGAAAGATAAGAGAGAGAGAGAGAGAGAGAGAGAGAAATGGGGTTAAACGTCCACTCGACACAAAATAGGCCATTTCGGGACTAACATATGGTTTAATTTTATTTCAATAATTCGCGTGCGTAGGGGTCTTTAGCAGTGGAAGGAAACCGGGGGACCCGGAGAAAACCCACGGGGTTGGATGGAAAGATAAGAGGATACAAGAAGAGCCATACATCATTTGTTAAATACTTTCGTATTTTGCTAATGTTTCTGAGATGATAATAACCAATTTTACAAATATTGTTTACGTGATTCTCCAAGAACAAGTTCGAATTAAACATTTCATCGATGTTTCTTGCTGAGTTTGAAGGTGAAAGAGCCGTCTCCTGCACGAATAGATAGACCATGGTTTATGTTTTTAAGATTTTCCATAGACCCACTTGCATGGTACATAGTCTTGTCAGCATTGGGTTTTAGAAAATTGTTAACAATCCATTAAAGGGGCATGAGGGAAGATTAGATAAAGAGATGACAATTAAAATATAGTTAATGAAAAGAGAATATGTTGAAAATTTCAGTCAAATTGCTTCACTCTGAACCTAGATATTAGCGATTCAATTTTAGTCATTGCTACCGTTGTTACGATAATAAACAAAGTTTCGATTATACATTTTTACGGTTATTTCACCAACAACAAAACGTAATCAAATCCACTAAATACCGCAGGCTAACGATGGCATCGAGAGTTGATTATGGTCTTGATAAGTTAATTAATGTCGAATTAATAATTTAAATAGCATTTAAGGCCTAAAGAACTAAAGAAAGACTTGCAATAGGCAGATTTATCTCTTGCATAATGCATGTTTAAATCTTGATATACCGAATAGCTGTTTCAGTATTGAGATTAGGGAGTGTGGTCAGCATATAAGTGACTACATGTATATGGCAGAGGGGTTTGGTGTAAGGATAAAATTGGTCCTTAAAACACCGGGATTATCGAATCTATGGGGGGATAGTACATGATACATTTTGATGATAGCACCTTGAAAACGACCTTTAACATGACTCCAGCAGTGCCAGAGCATTTCCAAATACAACGAACCCCGATTCCTGCCTACGGATGGGGGTATCATATTCTACGGCTGCTAATAAATTTAACAGTATGAGTAAAACACTATCACAGTTTTCAAAACTGATATCGTTGTGAACACGGACTACAGCGGGTCGGAACATCAAGGTATAAATTCAACTATAAGCACTGGAAACCATACGTCACCGTACAATCAACTCATAATCATACTACTACTACTACTACTACTACTAATAATAATAATAATAATAATAATAGCAAATCCAGTAAAATCGAGTAACAGAAAATGATTTATTTGTACAGAGAGAATCGTGGACATGATATTATAAGTTATAGTGATACAGAACGTACAAATATTGGAAAGTGGAAACCCACAAATAACGAAACGATTCAGCATCCACAATATATCAGAGGCGAAAAGGCTTGTTGGTTCCTTCTAGGTTCTCCTCTGCTTGTGACTTGTGATTGTCTACGGTATTCTGATTTCACGTTGTTTTTGTACGACTAACACAATTTACCTTTCTATATGACTTTATTGGATATTTCATAGAAATAGTCGAGGTGGCTCCCAGTTGATATACCACGTTTATCTTCAGAAACGGCTACTACGTCTAACCATAGAACTAGAATACTAACGGGAACGCCCACCGTGTGACGTCACTACCTTATGTGACGGCGGGCCTCTGACGCTGATATCGGGCACAGCTTACTTCCGGTTTCTGCTCGCACTAACAAAATGCCTGGCGCGAATTGTGTTTTGTTCGGATGTTCCGCCTGCAATAAAAGAAATCGGGGTTGATCATTCTATCGCTTACCCAAAAACAACATAGAGTGGAGAGAGAATCATTACGTATCATACAGTCTACCAGATCAGACCCGATAAATGACAAGACCTTGACAATATGTTCAAGACACGTTGAGCCGGATTATTTCGTTGAAAAAGTAAGTGAAAACTCAAATCAAAAGAAATTAATTATGTAGATTCTAGTTGGCAGTCCACCCTGACAACCTACAATGAAGTTAAGTTAAACCCATACTAGCTGAATGTCTGTATTTTCATGTTTGCCCGTTAGATTTTACCCTTTCTCTCATCAAAGTTGTATGCATATAGGTTTGTTTACATTAGTGCCGTAGCTAGGCCTAGTCTACTTGCAATTTGTTATGAAATTGACGAATACTACACCCGATGAGTGTGTGACAGCATGACGATTCTCTCTCAACAATCTTCTTTTACTTTAATTTTATGAATTACTAATTATTATTTTTTTTTAAAGGTCAAAGTTTTAACTGAGCAGCTCCATAAAAATTAAAATTGTATATTTATTTATGACTGACCTTGACCTGTCAAATCCTTTTACTTTTAAATTCCGAAATAATCTTGTTCCCGGTATGAATAATCAACAAGCATGGAAAAAAAATTAATTATATCTGAACCTTTTGTTTTGTATGTAGGAACCTTTTTATTTTGATTTATGAATATTTCAGATGTTTACAAAAATTCTGGGTCCACATATCGAAGATTAAAAGAAGGGTTAGGGAGACTATCAACCTTAATTCTTCTACAGAAAAGCGTAACAACAAAGAAATTGAATCCAAGGAAGTCACCGGTAACTTAAATTTCTGTTAACTTAATTATGAATATGAACATTCGATGTTTCCTTATAAAAGATCAGTATATGAACATTTAATTCATCAATATTAAACAGACATTATGCAAGAGCTAAATCTGTCAATTGCAGGTCTTTCTTTAGGCCTGGAATGTTATCTAAATTATTAATTAGACATTAATTAACTTATCCAGACCATAATCAACGCTCGATGGCATCGCTAGCCTGTGATATATACTGAATTAGAGCCCAGTCTGCTACTTCTGATTAAATCAAAAAATCGATAATCGAGACCATGGTTATTTTTTATCGTACCGACTATAGTAATGCTGATCGAGGCTAGGCCCAAAATTTAATCATTAAATACTTGGTTCAGGGTGGATGAATTTGACTGAAATTTTCAGCAAATTCCCTTTACATTATCTATTTTTTAACTATTATAATGAGAACTGCTAGCTCTTTCTGTAATCTCCCATAATTTTATTTATAAATACTTGTATGAATATCCGATTCTTCTTTATATTTACTTTTGTAATTTTTTCGATTTTATTCAGAAACCGAGAAAATTATGAATACATGTATCAGAATCCAATTCTTCTTGTTTTAATTGAATTTTATGAATTTGTCTATTTTATTCAGAGTCCAAGGAAAACCGAGGAAACTCAATGTTTACATATGAACGAAGTAACCTTTCAGATGTTGCAGAAATCATTTTTATGTCAAATGTCTGCTTTGTGGCTATGTCAGTCTTCAAGTGATTATATCTATCTGTTTAAAACTGAAGATAAAAGTGTAACATACCATTTAACCATTGACAAGGACTTGAATTGTGAAGTACAATATAATAATTTTTGTTTCCTGTTCAAATTAAAGTTACATCTATAGATTTACTTATAAGAACTGTTGAGAATATGAAGATATGTGGGGGCATAACATCAAAACATTTACAGTCTTATTCTCAATGTCAGACTACAACTGTAAGATATATCAGACAGGTTGATATTTTCATGAACACAAATAAGTCAACATAGAAATTACGAAAGCTGTGTACTTGCTTCTGTATGTAATAGTTTTGTTGAGGACACTCAAAAAGAAATTTGTTTAAGTTGTCGACAGATTAACAGAGATTTACAGAGAAAGTAAATAGTAATAATAATAGTTTATTTCACATATATGGCTACATAGCACATTGCATATTCAGATTTTGATTGACAATATATAATTCAAAGAATCAATATTTACATACTTGTAAATGTAATTTACAATTCAAAAATAGCTTAGCAATAATATATAGTTGCCATATAAACGAGCAAACAGTGATATAATATAATCATGTGGTATGAATTTGATTAAAATGTAGATTTCACTCCATTTTGATTTATTTCTTCCAACTAACTCGACTCCACATAGATTTGAGGTCAAATGAGAAGTTATAGAGTTAAACTGTGATCAGTGATGTCAGGTATTTTATTTACAGCACTTTGCTGCAAGCATTTCACACAATGAAAGTAACAAAAACACAGATTATACAGATAATTTCATACAACAAAATAGAAAGTGTATAATTAAACTAAACATTTCCTGGCTCTATTGGAATTAATATCAATATTGGAAGTATAAAAATATAAATGTGATTGAATCTAGGATTAAATCTAGAACTTAATCAGCAGTGTTCTACAGATTTTGTATTTCTTGTTATTACTGTATTGTAGTTAATAAGTAATGAAAAGAAAACAAGGCCCCAAGTTCACAAAGCATTCTCAGTCTTAAGTTAAGGTTTTACTCAAAATTGTTTGTCTTATTTTAACTCAAATATAGCACTTTACTAACTATTGTTGTTTTAATGTAAATATATCAATAAGAAACTGTGCAAAGTTTTGTGTTTCTGGATCAAAGATATTTCTCAAAAACAGTGATTGAAGGTTGAGCAAATTCTTAAGTCTGGGAATGCTTTGTGAACTTGGGGCCAGGTTGATAATAGTAAACAAAATATATCGAGACGCAATGAAATAGCACCTCTGAGATGACGTGGCATAACTTTGCACCTTCCACAAAACCTAGCTTTTTAAAAGCTGCATTATATACCCCACGTGTGTACCAGAAAAATCAACATACTGATTCTGTTGGGTTTAATTTTTTTGATTGAGAATTGTTCGGGGTGCGTTTACGCAATCTTCAAAACATTCTCACATGTTATCATCGTAATATGATGTTGTTACATCCTTAATTGCAAGATTAAAGCAAATCTTTAAAACAAAATTGAGCTGAAAAGTACTAAGTAGGGCGTTAAACCTGGATTCATTTCAAACAAGATTTACATTCATCCATTTATAAAAGTGATGTATTATTTTTATTGCATCTCAGTATAAAATATTAACAATGATAACAAAATTTATATAAATTTTATACAGGTGCACAACTTGTAATGTGTGAGCTTTATAAATGTATTAAATTATTCTTAAATATACATTATGTAAGATTTTGATAAAGAGCTAGCCATTCTTGCTATAATAGTTCGAAGATAAAAAATGTAAAATGACTAATTTGAAAATTTCATTCAAATTACTCTATTGCGAGCGAAGATATTAGCCTTTGAAGGCTATTTTAGAATATTTCAATTAATTGATGATACAAATTTCATCTTAACACACCTTATATAAACAATTCAACATAATGCTTTGAAACGTCTAACGTAAACCTTTTCAAATGAAACTTCGATTTAAAAATATTTTCGAACCCTCTGGACAAGTAAAATAGGATGTAATGGATAATTTACACAACAGGTGGGACACTTAAACATCTAGTACTTAGATAGAGATATTATTTATTTTCTGGAGCTTTCAAGCCAGCAAGAGTGTTATTGTCCCTTTAAAGTAAATATTATACAAAATAAAAGAAACTGTTCCAAAGCAATTTGGGATCACGTGGCTAAGTGGGTAAGACGCTGGCTCGCTAGCCTGGAGGTCGGGTGTTCGATCCCTGCATTGGCCGAGATTTTCCGGCGTGGTTCCCCCTTTTCAGTGATGCAGTACGGAGGGCCTGACAAGGACAGCTGTCTAATCCTTCGGATGATACGAAAACCCGAGGTCACCTGTATACATTGGAATGCACGTAAAAGATCCCGTGGCAGTTGGAATTCGATATAAGAATAGGTGATAGAGCCGCTGCCCGGGCAAAATTTCCCTTAAATCACACCTTATGGCGTATGCCCGTCTTCATTAGCCCAGCATAGGAGCAGAACAGTAGGACGTTAAACCCCATTTCATTTCATTTCCAAAGCAATTTGATCGTTTGAGAAGAAAAAAAATATATAGACATGGTCGAGACTATAATGAGTTTCATAACTTGCCCATTTGCTACGAACACTATGTGACTATATGCATGTATGTTGTATATGTAGAAAACTTACGGATGCTACTGGAACGACAGGTTGAGATGTCTCAAACAAATCTTTAGCAAAGAAAAGCTGTAGTAAAGAATACACATTTTTTTTTTTATAAACAATATTTTTATTCAAGATGTCTGAATGGGATTGGGGAACAGGCTTAGCCTATGTAAAACCCCTTGTTATAAACAAGAAAAGGGCACTGGGAAACCAGCCAAAACTGGCACGGACATGCCAAAGGCTAACAACAATATACACAAAACAATAAATAAAAAAAATAAAATGTGAATGTCATCATAATTTATTAATAATAATTTTATAATATGTAGTAGAAAATGATACACAAACGTGTGTTCGGATAATTTAATGTCCGAAAATAAATGGTTTATACTCCCGATGGTATGTTATATAACTAATTTAAAAAAAACTCATTAAAATTATGAATAACTTACATCTATTACACCGTCAAGTTCTTGAAATTCCAGGACGTCGTACGCTTCTGCCATGCAATTACCCCTAAGTACCACTAGAATTTCCAGTCAACAAACTCGGTCGATGGTTGGGCTAAAATTTGGGAATAGTTTGTTTGACTGAAATAAAAAACGCACTAACTCAAATATGATTACATCGTTTTTTGTCTATTTTGATTATTTTCCCCCAAGTTCAAATCTGACAGTTGAAGTCACAATTTTATTGAGATTTTCCTTCCAATAGCAATACCCTAAACAACGTGTTGACCTCTCTTTGCGAGTAAGGTCGTCATCTAGGGTTAAGGGTCAACGACTGACGTCATCAACATAAAACAATGGCCGTACTAATATAAACAACTTGAATTAAGTCTGTGTCCGATGCATAAAACTGATGACAGCATAGTATCTAGTCGCTTCAGTATTTGACATTTTCATGTGGCCTCGCCCAGTCGATAAAATCAATCAGTTAGTTCAGTCGAATAATCCAGTCGAATAAACCAGTCGAAAAGTTCAGTCGAATAATTCAGTCGAATAAACAAGTCGCTCAATATTAAGCAGCGGTGGCAGCGGGCTAAGATAATATAGTAGCAAATCATGCTCGTAGCCATAGCTGAAGGAGCCGGGGGCATGGGGTAGGGACCGGGGGGCTTCCCAACTAATTTCAAGAAATGAAAAGAAATGAAATGGGGGTTCAACGTCCTTTTGTTCTGCTTGGAACTGGGCTAATGAAGACGGGCATACGCCATACACTGTGCGATGAGGGAAATTTTGCCCGGACAGCGGCACTACGGCCTACTCTTATATCGAATTCCATCTGTCAAAGGGATCTTTTACGTCCACTCCAATGTATACACGGGACCTCGGTTTTTCGTCCCATCCGAAAGACTAGACAGCTGTCCTTGTCCGCCTCGAAAAGAATAGAGTCCCTATATATGATATGAACGAAGAAAGGGGATGGGGTGGGGCGGGGGTGGGGGGGATAAGGTATTTGACATTTTCATGTGGCCTCGTCCAGTCGATAAAACCAGTCAGTTAGTTCAGTCGAATAATCCAGTCGAATAAACCAGTCGAATAATTCAGTCGAATAAACCAGTCGAATAGTTCAGTCGAATAATTCAGTCGAATAAACAAGTCGCTCAATATTAAGCAGCGGGCTAAGATAATATGGTAGCAAATCATGCTCGTAGACATAGCTGAAGGAGCCGGGGCATGGGGTAGGGACCGGGGGGCTTCCCAACTAGTTTCAAGAAATGAAAAGAAATGAAATGGGGGTTCAACGTCCTTCTGTTCTGCTTGGAACTGGGCTAATGAAGACGGGCATACGCCATACACTGTGCTATGTTGGAAATTTTGCCCGGACAGCGGCACTACGGCCTACTCTTTTATCGAATTCCATCTGTCAAGGGATCTTTTACGTCCACTCCAATATATACACGGGACCTCGGTTTTTCGTCCCATCCGAACGACCAGACAGCTGTACTTGTCCGCCTCGAAAAGAATAGAGTCCCTATATATGATATGAACGTAGAAAGGGGATGGGGTGGGGCGGGGGATGAGGTATTTGACATTTTCATGTGGCCTCGTCCAGTCGATAAAACCAGTCAGTTAGTTCAGTCGAATAATCCAGTCGAATAAACCAGTCGAATAATTCAGTCGAAAAGTTCAGTCGAATAAACCAGTCGAATAGTTCAGTCGAATAATTCAGTCGAATAAACAAGTCGCTCAATATTAAGCAGCGGGCTAAGATAATATGGTAGCAAATCATGCTCGTAGACATAGCTGAAGGAGCCGGGGCATGGGGTAGGGACCGGGGGGCTTCCCAACTAGTTTCAAGAAATGAAAAGAAATGAAATGGGGGTTCAACGTCCTTCTGTTCTGCTTGGAACTGGGCTAATGAAGACGGGCATACGCCATACACTGTGCGATGATGGAAATTTTGCCCGGACAGCGGCACTACGGCCTACTCTTTTATCGAATTCCATCTGTCAAGGGATCTTTTACGTCCACTCCAATATATACACGGGACCTCGGTTTTTCGTCCCATCCGAACGACCAGACAGCTGTACTTGTCCGCCTCGAAAAGAATAGAGTCCTATGAACGTAGAAAGGGGATGGGGTGGGGCGGGGGATGAGGTATTTGACATTTTCATGTGGCCTCGTCCAGTCGATAAAACCAGTCAGTTAGTTCAGTCGAATAATCCAGTCGAATAAACCAGTCGAATAATTCAGTCGAAAAGTTCAGTCGAATAAACCAGTCGAATAGTTCAGTCGAATAATCCAGTCGAATAATTCAGTCGAATAAACAAGTCGCTCAATATTAAGCAGCGGTGGCAGCGGGCTAAGATAATATAGTAGCAAATCATGCTCGTAGCCATAGCTGAAGGAGCCGGGGCATGGGGTAGGGACCGGGGGGCTTCCCAACTAGTTTCAAGAAATGAAATGGGGTTTAACTGCTTGGAACTGGGCTAATGAAGACGGGCAGACGCCATAAACTGTGCGATGAGGGAAATTTTGCCCGGACAGCGGCACTACGGCCTACTCTTATATGGAATTCCATCTGTCAAAGGGATCTTTTACGTCCACTCCAATGTAGACACGGGACCTCGGTTTTTCGTCCCATCCGAAAGACTAGACAGCTGTCCTTGTCCGCCTCGAAAAGAATAGAGTCCCTATATATGATATAAACGAAGAAAGGGGATGGGGTGGGGTGGGGGTGGGGGGGGGATGAGGTATTTGACATTTTCATGTGGCCTCGTCCAGTCGATAAAACCAGTCAGTTAGTTCAGTCGAATAATCCAGTCGAATAAACCAGTCGAATAATTCAGTCGAAAAGTTCAGTCGAATACTTCAGTCGAATACTTCAGTCGAATAATTCAGTCGAATAATCCAGTCGAATAATTCAGTCGAATAAACAAATCGCTCAATATTAAGCAGCGGTGGCAGCGGGCTAAGATAATATAGTAGCAAATCATGCTCGTAGCCATAGCTGAAGGAGCCGGGGGCATGGGGTAGTGACCGGGGGGCTTCCCAACTAGTTTCAAGAAATGAAAAGAAATGAAATGGGGTTTTAACGTCCTACTGTTCTGCTTGGAACTGGGCTAATGAAGACGGGCAGACGCCATACACTGTGCGATGAGGGAAATTTTGCCCGGACAGCGGCACTACGGCCTACTCTTATATCGAATTCCATCTGTCAAAGGGATCTTTTACGTCCACTCCAATGTAGACACGGGACCTCGGTTTTTCGTCCCATCCGAAAGACTAGACAGCTGTCCTTGTCCGCCTCGAAAAGAATAGAGTCCCTATATATGATATAAACGAAGAAACGGATGGGGTGGGGCGGGGGTGGGGGGGATGAGGTATTTGACATTTTCATGTGGCCTCGTCCAGTCGATAAAACCAGTCAGTTAGTTCAGTCGAATAATCCAGTCAGTTAGTTCAGTCGAATAATCCAGTCGAATAAACCAGTCGAATAATTCAGTCGAAAAGTTCAGTCGAATAAACCAGTCGAATAGTTCAGTCGAATAATTCAGTCGAATAAACAAGTCGCTCAATATTAAGCAGCGGTGGCAGCGGGCTAAGATAATATAGTAGCAAATCATGCTCGTAGCCATAGCTGAAGGAGCCGGGGCATGGGGTAGGGACCGGGGGGCTTCCCAACTAGTTTCAAGAAATGAAATGGGGTTTAACGTCCTTCTGTTCTGCTTGGAACTGGGCTAATGAAGAAACGGATGGGGTGGGGCGGGGGTGGGGGGATGAGGTATTTGACATTTTCATGTGGCCTCGTCCAGTCGATAAAATCAGTCAGTTAGTTCAGTCGAATAATCCAGTCGAATAAACCAGTCGAATAATTCAGTCGAAAAGTTCAGTCGAATAAACCAGTCGAATAGTTCAGTCGAATAATTCAGTCGAATAAACAAGTCGCTCAATATTAAGCAGCGGTGGCAGCGGGCTAAGATAATATAGTAGCAAATCATGCTCGTAGCCATAGCTGAAGGAGCCGGGGGCATGGGGTAGGGACCGGGGGGCTTCCCAACTAGTTTCAAGAAATGAAAAGAAATGAAATGGGGTTTAACGTCCTTCTGTTCTGCTTGGAACTGGGCTAATGAAGACGGGCAGACGCCATACACTGTGCGATGAGGGAAATTTTGCCCGGACAGCGGCACTACGGCCTACTCTTATATCGAATTCCATCTGTCAAAGGGATCTTTTACGTCCACTCCAATGTAGACACGGGACCTCGGTTTTTCGTCCCATCCGAAAGACTAGACAGCTGTCCTTGTCCGCCTCGAAAAGAATAGAGTCCCTATATATGATATAAACGAAGAAAGGGGATGGGGTGGGGCGGGGGTGTTGGGGATGAGGTATTTGACATTTTCATGTGGCCTCGTCCAGTCGATAAAACCAGTCAGTTAGTTCAGTCGAATAATCCAGTCGAATAAACCAGTCGAATAATTCAGTCGAATAAACCAGTCGAATAAACCAGTCGAATAGTTCAGTCGAATAATTCAGTCGAATAAACAAGTCGCTCAATATTAAGCAGCGGTGGCAGCGGGCTAAGATAATATAGTAGCAAATCATGCTCGTAGCCATAGCTGAAGGAGCCGGGGCATGGGGTAGGGACCGGGGGGCTTCCCAACTAGTTTCAAGAAATGAAATGGGGTTTAACGTCCTTCTGTTCTGCTTGGAACTGGGCTAATGAAGACGGGCAGACGCCATACACTGTGCGATGGGGGAAATTTTGCCCGGACAGCGGCACTACGGCGTACTCTTATATCGAATTCCATCTGTCAAGGGATCTTTTACGTCCACGCCAATGTGCACACGGGACCTCGGTTTTTCGTCCCATCTGAACGACTAGACAGCTGTCCTTGTCCGCCTCGAAAAGAATAGAGTCCCTATATATGATATGAACGAAGAAAGGGGATGGGGTGGGGCGGGGGTGGGGGGGATGAGGTATTTGACATTGTCATGTGGCCTCGTCCAGTCGATAAAATCAGTCAGTTAGTTCAGTCGAATAATCCAGTCGAATAAACC